TAAATGAGTGGTAGGAATATCGATTCCTACCATTAATATAGAGATTTCCGGACGAAGCCCATAGTCGAATAATGTTGGACCTGGTGGGGATCGAACCCGATGACTCGTTTATATTTGCCATGCATTGCTACCATTACACGAACAACCATTTCTAATTATAAAGCTTTCAGGTGTGAAAATAATATCGTTTCAAATACATCCGTGTTAAAAGCAATTTACACTTGAATTTATAACACAAAATACAGCTCCGATAACGCGTAATGCGAAATCAAATGACTCCCTTGGCGAGAGGCAAAGGTAAATTGGGCCAAAAATGATAACCCCATGCCCCACGAATGGAGTCATTTCGCTAACGAACCACCATTGGGAGATATTATCGGCTATTCGGCTGATTAATGTACGTTCAAATTATGTACGATGAAAACTACACACAATATATGAACGATAACGATTATCATGTGTTGTACTTTAAAAGTCTGGTGTAGCAAAGTATTTAGCTAAATATATATATACCTATAGTTATGAGAAAATCTTGTATCTGTATCTCTCCATTTAAAGTCTAAATAGTTTAAAAAGCTGATTTAAAAAAAATACATTTCTTGTACGATTCTTTTTCACTGATGTCGCTTTTCAATTGTTTAATTTTAAAATATTATATATCACATAAGTTTTAGTACAGACGCACGAATTATTTATCATAGATATTTTTTGTACACTGCGTTGAAGAAGCAAGTTAATCAAAAAAATGTATACCCGAAGCATTTAAATTAAAGCAATTTATCTGGTTTGAAACGCAAAATACATTTCTTATATTATGTTTAACTGTGACGTTTAAAGATTAATAATGTAGTTTAGTTTCGAACCGTTAAAAGTGTACAATTTACTGTAGGTACTAGTCGCGTAAGCTACAGATTTAAAAGACATAAACTTTATCTAATACATGACAATTGACATTCATTAATTCTATGAATTACTGCAAGTGACAGGTACAAATTTTCAAACTGTCAAAACATGAAACCCAACTAATCATATGGGATAATTAGCTGAAGTTTTGGAGCGATTTGTTTCAACTGCGTACCCTCTTCATCATCATGTGACATACATATTTTAACGGGCTTGAAAAATTTGGACACCCTTCCCCAATTAAAAAGCAACCTTATACTAGCGGACGTATGCATAATTTATTAAATAAGTGCGGCATGCTATGAATTATGTTTTTAATTGTATTATGATTATAGAAACGATTAATTTGTAATTATTGTGTTGCTTTAAAATAATGGAAATTACTTTTAGTTGTCATATTTTTTGTACAAAATACAAAAATTTACAAATGGTAACAATGTATATCTAACAATCAACGGGTCATGGCTTCGATCCCCACCAGGTCCAAGATTTTTCTAATCAATTTATAATTGTGGATTTACAGATATCCAAAGCCAAAATAGGGCGACAGCGTATCTCGTTAAGATGTTATAAAGCTGGAGTATTTCACCAATCATCAAGGGTTTAAGATAAAGCTGTCTCTTCTTCATTTAAAAAAATCTTTGAAATGTATCTCTACCTGTTTAAAACCCGTCGAAAGTGTTTCAAACTACAGGCATTACTCTGACATTACATTTTTTTTTAATAATTTATTTACCATAAAAGATACATTTGCACATTTATATCAAAATTGGCGAAAGTGGCTCTCTTATTCTAAAAATAAAATTTTCACTTATTGAGTAGGGAGGTACATAATATTTTTTACATATTAGGTTAGGTATCTTTATATAATACTGTTTGTGAACTATAAATTTATTTATTATTAAATATGACTATTTTATATGTTAAGTAGTAACTTATGTATACATTTTTATATTAGTAACTTTATTTATATATTATAGTGACTTATATATTAATATTTTATTTATTTATGACAAGTAATGTTTCAGCCTCTTTTTTAACTTTACTTTGCTTATTTCTTTGTGCCTTAACAAATCTATTTTGTTACACAAATTTGGAGATCAAAGTACGGTTGCTTAATTAATGCTTGTTAGAAAGATATGACACTTTGACGCAATAAGATAATCTCTATACTGACCGACCATAGCTACACTCCATAGTTTTATTGATATTGCCCACAATAAGGCTTTCACCTCAGGAAGCTTTAATGTGTTTAGTTCACGCGGCGCAACAAGTGGGTCATTTTAGTCTGCGTCTTGGTGAACAATGATTATGGATTGTTATTTAACACAGCTTGCAAACATATATAATTTAAATAAAACACTTTAACGGCTTAAAACGCGATATATTAGTTAAATTTATTTGGAAATGATTTTTTACTTCGGCCCGACGTTTCGGGTTAGTTAAAAATCATTTCCAAATAAGTTTAACTAATATATCACGTTTTAAACCGTTAAAGTGTTTTATTTAAATGTGTACTACTCGCGTAAACTATAGACAGTATTTAACATATATAATTATCAAACAATTTAAATATAAATATACAAGTGTATAAAAGTATTTTTATTAAAACGAGGCGGAAACCTGTTGTAACACAAACACAGGGTTTTAATTAGATTTTATTCTTCAAGATATTCATTTTATATTAGTGTTGGACTAATATTGTATTATTATTTTAAGTTAAGCCTGTGTAGGTAAATTATTAGTCAAATTTCTTGATAACTCTCCTTTACAGCCGATCCAGATATTTTGTAGTTCACACCTATCAAATGATAAAACATTACACAGTCGAGTTGTCTTGCGCCAAAACATCCGCACAATGCATTTAAAAATTGACAATTATCTTACCATATGCAGCATCTACTGTAGGGCTGTACCCCACACTGCTTCTAACAGATAAGACTCCCACCAAATTGATGTTTGAACTTTCATTAATCCCCCCAACGTTAGACGTCCATTACTTTTGACATATAGGACCCAAAATGCAGTTTATTTCTATCTTAATATTGCATTGAGATATTATAATTATTTTCGTTATATTGTAGTTTTTTTATGATAGAAGAAGACACACATGCATGGATGCCGGCTCAAGCCCGTATTCTTTTTTATTACAATCGATTTTTGGGTAAACGTTACAGTTCAAAAAAAGAGTACAGCGAAATTGCAAAACGAACTGAATTTCGTTCAATGCAAACATTCCAAGTTTCATTCATATGGAGGTTAATGTATAATAAAGTCATGCCATCATGTCCGGGCCATTATTTTTATTTCAATGCATTTGTCTCCTCGCATTGTTTATGAGTCTGGCAATTCCGTATGCATAACGCGGCGAGTTTCTTTTATCTCTAATAAGATCCCAATACGAATGTGCTCCCTTAAGTAATAAACCGCGCGATAGTTTCGTTTCCATTCTACTCAACGGAACGTCAACGTCAAAATCAGCTATCGCAGATAATACTGGAATATATTTAGTGGTAAGAAAATATTACTGCTTACACGACTAGTACACATTTCCGCGGAAATTTACATTAATTTTAATTCCAATAAAACTCTGTTATGAATTTTAAACTTAAAACATATAAGTTAACCATCATTATTTATACTACGGCTCCACGATTTGAATGCTTTACAAAAGCAGTGGTCACGGGGGGGCTAAGAATGGGGGGTGGCCATAATGTCAAATCTGCTGTACTAGCGTCATCTAGCGTGTACGCTTATACTTCTACAAGTTAAATCGTAAAGCGTTTTATGCAAATAGATATAAATTCCCGTGTCAGGCATAGGTCAGATATATTTTCCTTTCCATAAAAACGATAAATTATTTTTTTCATTTAAGTAACTAAAATATTTGCCGTTTTATACCGTAAAGCGTTTTATTTTAATGTGTACTATTCGCAAACTAGAAAAAATATTAGCTTCTTTGAAGCAAGGTAAAAAAGCCTGATCACATGCTTGTAGATATATCAGTGAAACGCATTGAACTGCGAAATATGTTTGCCCCATGCCCCACAGGGATAGACAGCAGTTCACACACACGCACAAAAAATACGTCATACAGCGGAAACACGTCAAATTGCGTACGAAATACGTCGAATTTGTAGAACAAATACAAATGGTTGAGGGTAGATCGGGGGTAGATAATTACATTTTTTGATCTTCGGAATCGGGGGATAACTTGAATGTTAAGGCAGCGGGTCTTTGTGTAGGTGTTTTGATAGTGTCAGAGATATAATTCTTGCAGTGTAGTAAATATCTAATGGCGACGTACTGAAGTAAATAAGTAAACAACACATCCGAAATGATGGGTCGTAGTTAAAAACAAGTACTGTCTGTAGTTTTCGCGAGTAGTACACATTAAGATAACTTTAACGGTTTAAAACGCGATATATTAGTTAAACTTATGTACATTATTTTAATGTTAACATATAAAATACGCGTAAATTACACAAAATACTACAATACTATTATTTGCTGTAATTCTATGTCATTATTATAATTTAAATATGGATATGTTTATACATGTTTTATAAATATGCCAATATAGGGAAACAATTCGGCTATTAAATACTGTATAAAATACCCACGAACCCACGATGTCTTGATTATTAATCATATATTGCTATACCATCAAACGTCCGGTTAGTATTCGAGGCCCCGGCCCAATACGTTACAATCCAATCAACTAAAAAATGTCCTACCATTAGACCGACGTGTCCGTCAAAAGGATTTTTTGTTACTATTGTTGAGACTCTGTACGTGTTACCCTAACTTATATAATATTCTAAATAATGATTTATACAAATGAACTAGTTTTCTGGCCTTGATGTGAGATTAAGATACCATAGAAGATTGATGTTATTTATGCAATAGTGGAGATTTATAATTATTTTTAGTTGAATGCTGATTAATAGCGTAATATATGATTTTCCTTTAACATTATTTATTTTATTAAATAGTGTTCTTTCTATAATATAGTAATTCAACATACGAAACATCCCCGGATATTAATACAATTATAAAAACTCGCATTAAATTAAAGGAGTTTTATCGTAACTCACCTAAAAGTTTCATTACTTCTGCTTGGCTGATAAGCACATTGAGATGGCCGGTTGCCAGGGGCAACGCCAGCCAGACCGCCCAAACGAAGATCAGTCTCTTACACGCCATTATAAACAACTCACTCTTCTATCATTTTCAGTTTCACTTTATTGTCCATTTTGACACATCATAAAACAATCCCTGTTAGGTCGCATCCATTTTATACTAAGCTAATTAACAATTACAATAATTGGCATTATTAATTTGTTATAAATTATATACATACATAATAAGAACAAAACAAATGAAAATAATATAGAATGATGAAGAATTTCATAGATCCGTTACAAAACGATAGCAAAAATTTAAGCTTAAAAAAAATAAATACATTCTTTATACATATAATAAAGTATATAGTTGCAATATATTTAATAAAGTTATATATTAAGAAAAATCTAAAACAAATGTATAATTTTTAATTCGTGTGAATAAAAAATAAGCTCAGTATAAAGTGATTTATAACGATTTATAACGTAATTCGTGCATACCGCGTTATTTTCGAATTTCGAATACCTTCACGCCGGAAGCGTGGGAAAGCACGCGCCACGCGACCGCGACACCACGCCGCACTGCCGTCGAGTTCGTACTCGTACAGCCAACAAGTTACGAATTGTCATGCGCACTTGCCAACCCTACAGTGTGAACTTGCTTTATACCGCAAGGTTTCGCACCTTGAACGATTTTATCAAACAATACGACTGTAAAAAATTATCGGTTCCCGTACCTGTGTTTGTAAAAAAATATTGATTACCCCCCTCCCCCTTAACGCTTTTATATTTTCACATTAAATGACTTAGTCTTATATCCACTTATATCCACTGTTTGCGTTATAAAAAAATCACGTTTGCATTATAGGAATCATCTGACATGTTCATTGTTTACACAGTCGTTTAGAACAGACATTATAAGCGGCGGCAATTAAAAACTATCTAATAACACAGCCTATACCTGGTGATATATTGACTGACGAACGGTGCAGTCTTTTTTAGTTTGCTTAAATACTTAAATAGATTTTTGAGCTTGGCATAAACGTACTAGTTTGTCTACACGCTTTCGTCTCTAAACATTAATGTTACGTAATGTAATAAAGTTCAGTTTTATTGTTTGGTATATGTAGAGAGAGAGAGAGAGAGTTTGTTCGTTTGTTTAATGTATAATTTATGAAGCTTGTTTGCAAAAATATACAATACGATGCCTGTAATAACTATTCCACGTCGCGGATACAGCTAGTAATTCTAATGATAGTCCTAACATTCGAATTTTGAAAATCCTATATACACCGAGGTTCTCCCTTCCTCTGGGTGTAAATGTGTTAAAAATTGAAAGGCTTTCATCGAAGACTTATAAAGTGAATTAATTGAGTTTATCTCAGGGGAGCGTTGCTTCCGCTGCGCATTAGGCCTGTTCGCAACGCACTAATGAAATTACTTCGCCATTTACAAACTTTGAAAGCTTGAATTTTATATCAAACAGCTCTTAGATTATATCTCATAAATGATCTATTTTTATTTAGTTACGATCGACGATTAAGTCTTTAAAATTGGAATTATGATAATAAAGATTTTTTTATATAGTCTATTGTGTAGAGTTTTTATAAGATAAGTTTCTTTTATCAAATAAAAATTGGAAAACATAATAGGTACGAGCAGGGACTTGAACCAACATCCACAGCGTTCCGGGCTCTTCTTCTAACGTATTGTGCGTGTCGTATTTTTGAAATCTAAAATCGAAATCTAATTTTTGAATTATTAAAATAAGACGCTATGTGCTAAACATGTGGGTAAAACAAAATTTCAAGTTTCATTTTGTTTTTATCTCCTCATTTTCGATACGAACGATTCGTGGAGTGTGCAATGTGCCGTGTACAATACGGATATCTTCAACATTCTTTCGAAAAAAAATCTTAATATACTGGTACCGTGAAAAAAAGATTAGATACTTAGAGCCTTAAATGTCATATTTTTAATCACCGTATTAGCTTAAGACGTGCCTAACCCCGGAAAACGTTAGAATAGTTAGATATACTATCTGTAGTTTACGCGAGAAGTACACATTTAAATAAAACACTTTAACGGTATAAAACGCGCCATATATTAGTTAAATTAATTTGAAATTACTTTTAACTACGGCCCGACTGCTGCAAAGTTATTATAGTTGTCGCCAATATGTCAATGGCCTTTAAATAAAGTTTTTACATAAACACATAGAAGTGTAGTCGTTTGCCACTAATATTGGAAATGGAATTTATGTATATTATTACTTTCATGCCATTACAATGTATCAAAAGTCTCAGAAGAGCCGAGTAACTAGAGATTAACAAGAATGTATAAATAATCAGGCCGCATAGAGGGTATGGTAGCACTGATGGATTAACCTGCTTAATAAGCAGAAAGTTTGCTGCAATCTCCTCTAGCGAGGTTCCTTAATGAAACACATAATACACAGTCACTTGTTTAATACCGCTTGTAAGCAAACGTGTTTTATCGGTGTTAAAAAGATCTCGCTCTAAAACACACCAGTATACTTTTTAGTGTATGTACGTTGTTGTATAAGCAAACAAATGAAACTTAAAAATGATTATTATCTGTAGTTTACTAATATATGTTATTTTAAACCATTTAACATGTTTTATTTAGAACTAGCTGATACCGCAAACGTTACTTTACTGTTTGCAAGTTTTATATTATTATGATAATACAACTCTAACAAATGATAAGTAATAATGGATTATTAATCAACCAAATTTTATTAGCATAACGGCTCTTGAGGGTTAATCTAAGAAGATATACTGTTGCGGACATATTTTTAGATCATTTATTGAGGAATCATGTATGAATGAACGATTCCTTAATAAAAATTTGTTTTTTGTTTTTGATTCGATTTGTTCAGTTTTCCCATTGTATATTATTAAAGAAAAAATTCTCCTAACTAATGTGACATTATTTTCATTGGAAAAAAATAATCTTTTATTTTAAAATACAAATTCAAGTTATCTTATAATAATAATAGTAATAATCATTTATATGTCAGACCATAAATCCATTAGTTTATAAATTAATTAAATCTAATGAGTGTTAGTTGGGTTAGTAACAATTTATGTGTGTGATGAGATGAGGTTGGATTAGCAGACTATGAGAAGATATGGTAGTTTTATGGTGTTTATATGAGGGGAAGCTAAAGTATAATCACGTTTAAACGAGAAAATCCTACTGTGTTTTTAAAGCTGAGCGGATCTTCAGCGTTTTAAATTCTGCACGCGCTAGTTTCTGTATCGATAAACATTAGTCATAACAGTAACAGACACTACAGAATGTCTTCAATTCTCACGATTCTGAATTCACTGTGCATTCCGCCGGAAAATTCAAGAAGCTCGTGCAGGCGTGGGCTGTGCGCACTCATAGCAAACTTTTATGCACTTTTTAATTTTTCAAATAGAACGAGAGTAAAAGATCTTATATGAAGTTATCTAAATTTCAAACTCAAATCATTTACTTCACAAGGCACATAAAAAAATACAACAAATTAAACTTAAATATTAGCTTAATAAGTGAAATATACTTAGTTTATTATAAAAAGGAAGGTAGATAAATAAACTTAGGAGAGTTCACGTTCTTCACCACCCAAAAGTAGAGAAGCGCCGGTTTTCAGTGAAATTCAGTAAAATTTTGACGTCCTAGATAACTATTCTACGCCGTATACGTCGCAGGGACAGTATACATGTAAACTTTGACACATTACAAATGTTTTCATTAATGCACAATATAAAACATACATGCTCACATATAGCACTTAATGTTTACAATAAAAAAAAATGAGAAAGTAAGAATAATAACATAAAAAAATTTATAATAAATAAAACACCTAAAAGTGAAGATTTGATAGATCTAGGAATCAAAGTCAAAGTCAAAATTATTTATTCTTGTAGGTAACTATGTACACTTATGAACGTCACAAAACTAAAGAAATAATTATATCAATAATAAAGCAATTTCCTATATCTTGATTAAAAAAGTATTTAGTAAAGGCGACTTTCTTTCTGGAGGAGAGGACTAAATAGCTCCCACATTTAGTGCCGTTTTTATATGATAAAAGAGGACAGAGCATTCACTGTATGGAAGGTGAAAAAAATCTCTGAAGATGTGCTGTCGATCTGTTTTTAGCTTTAGATTGGTACGTGACTAGTATGAGAAAAAAGGCGAATCTTCCAAAACATGAAACATTAGCTCTATAAATACAAGACTGGCTCAAGTGGCGTCATTTTGCGACGGATCTGTTTGTTTTGCTTCAGGACTACGTTTGTTCCGTCGACAAACATCGCTCCCGCGTACCGACGGGTTGTTTTATGATAATCTCCTATAAATTGTGGATTGAGGAGCGGATATTGGAATTAATGTGGCTGCAAAACGTAAATAGACCGGGATATTAATTTAGAGAAGTGCTAGATAATGAAAAACTCTATAATAGCCACGGAAAGTTTTTATTAATAATATTCAAATTTCCGACACCATTAAAATAAAATATTGCTGAAACGGAGATCATAATGATGTTATTTGTTGATTTTCAAAAAATTCATGTCATGTAGCTTATTCGTTACAGTTTATTAGTTACTTGTTACGTTACCTTTTACAACAAGTAATATCATATATGTATGTATATGTTTTATTAAAATCAAACACTTATTATTATTTACTACTTATTATTAAGGCTTAAAACGCGATATATATTAGTTAAACTTATTTAAAGAATATATTTAACTTCGGCCCGATGTTTCGGATGTTTTGCGGCAGCCGTGGTCATGGGGAGACTAAAGATGGAGGATGTTTCTGACGTCATAGTAAAAATTCCTACGCTAGCTAGCGCTATCAGTTCCGTCGAAGTTGGTATTTAGGGAAACTGGCCGGCTCGTTGCAGCATTCACTAACCGTTAGTCAATTCTGGGCCGAAGTAAAAAATATTTTCAAATAAGTTAAACTAATATATATCGCATTTAAACCGTTAGTGTTTTAGTAAAATGTATACTTACTCACGTAAACTACAGATATCACTGATCAATAAGTAAAATCTCGTTT